CTTCATTATTCCATAAACATAGGTTGTATCACTTTGAAAGTATCATGCTTGCATTCAGATAAACATTGTAGTGTCCGATTACTATTGTGTAAAGTATCTTAAAACTAGGGAAGGCTAATACTTTTAACCAAGGCGGCTTGGCGGGGATAGACTGGACTTTTCATATATATATTCATCATCGTGTTCCTGCTTTGTAAAATCCGACACGCACTAAAATGTAGTGGACGATTATTTGTCACCAACTGGATTTTTTCGATTAGGTATCCTGTTTCTCTTCAATCATCCTCTAAGTAGAGAAGAATGTAGGAATTATTACATCCTTTTGTATGTGCTCTCGTGGGGTAAGTGGTCGGGATGTCCAGCTAACAAGACCGTGTTTTGAAGCACGTTTGGACAAAATTGATTTTAAATGTTCACTTCCCTCTATCCCTAAAAAAAACGGAGAAAGAACGAGAGAAAGAATACTAATGGCTCTCTGCAAGAGTACAATACTCCCTTACGTATGATATCATTTTTACGTTAATGTTTCAAATGAAGACCTGACTGGCTTCACGATAGATGTCATCACTTATTTCGCAAAATAGCTTTATCTAACTGTCTATGTAAAATTTATCAATAATTCCCCCTATGTTTCTCAGTATTTACAGAAGTCTGTATTATAATATTCCTTTTACAGTTTGCTTATTGTTATCTAATTTCATTATTTTTCGAATGCGCTCAATAAACTTTCGTATCATGTATCATACAAAAACGATCAAAAAGTCAATACTCTGGTATTAATTCAAGCGTTTACCGTTTTAAACTTGAACTCATTACAAAGATTTCATCTTCGCGAGATGTTGTTGGCTATGCATGATCAATCGCTATTAGAATATGCAAAGCTGTTCGTCTTATCTGATATCTCACATATGTTGAACGACGAAGTACTTTCAAAACTAAAAGAAAAATACGTTTTATAAACTACTAGCCGACTGCTTTTGAATACTTTGCAAAATGTACTTAACGGGGGGACTATATTTTAGGACATGTAACTGCAGTGCTTAGAACATATATTAACTAAACAAATATTTATCAGAGAGGATTCAAGATGCAGAAAGTATTTAGTAACTTAGTTAGCATTTTAGAAAACATTGTTAGCAGAAAGCATTTTAGTAGCCTTAAAACTTTATATATCTAGTGTTAAATTACTCCTTGAAGAAGATAAAGAAAGATTTTAAAAAAAATTAAATTATAAATTAACATTTTTACATATTATTTAGTAACTAATTATTTACATTTATTCACATATTTGTTTATTATTTTCATCTTTCAGTCTTAAGGGGGCTCATACACCTTAAACCCCTTATGATCTTCGAATATGTGACTCTTGCAAGAATTGGGATATTTTATTTATTTTAAAAGCAATTACTTCCAACTTCTTACAGCTGACTTCATAATATAGCTGCTTTAGAAACTAGTAACCAGAAGGTGTCTGTTGCCACAAATATTTATGTAATTTAATCCGCTTTGTGACAAAAGTTTTCGTTATGTTTCCACCTTGCGCGCATGATATTTTAAAAATGGCTAATGGTACGTACTTGAAATTTAATTCAATTCTTTATACGGGCACTATTTTCTAACCGAACCAAAAATTTGATGAATATTTTAGTATTAAAAAAGTTTATGCGCGAAAACATTACAGATTTTTTTAATAAAATACATTTTATAAACTCAACTCCAAATAAAATAAAAATTTAACATGAAATTCTTAGAATTTTAGGTTCACAGTAGTTTTCAAATGTTATAAAAGCTATATATTAAATATGGAACTTAAATTATGCATGCACAGAATGTTTTAAAATGTGCGCTACAAGGTGGGAAACTTGATGAAATATTTTGTCTCACAAAGCGGATTAAATTATAAAAATATTTGTGGCAACACAAACCTTTCTGATTTATTATTTCAGAAAGCAGCTATATTATGTAGTCAGCTGTAAAAAGTTGGAAGTAATTGCTTTTAAAATAAATAAGTTATCCCAATTCTTGCAACAGTCACATATTCGAAGATCTTATGGGTTTTAAGGTGTATGAGTCCCCTTAAATGTCCAATATTTCTCCTTTCCACTCTGATGGTTGCGAATTTGCAGTGGTAAGTTTTAATTGCTTTGGTATAAAACCTCATCAGTATAATCGGAAGACGAAAGCTATAATCGATACTTAAAGTCTAAGCACATGGTACAAGTGCAATAATTCTACATTTCCCCTGTTCTCAAGCTAAAAAACGATGGGTCAAATCTAACTCATTGAATCTGTGCAGCTAAGTGGTAATAAACTTCAATAGAAATGCGGCCGATCCACTGCAGCCTTACTATATCGGCCGAAAACAGGAATAAATAGAAAGGGCTAGCTCATTCCTTTGTTCGACTCCTCGCCGACGCGAGCCTAACATGGAGGTAGGAAACATGGAGGTGAATTTAGATCAATTAGTTGATTTAACTGTTTTAAAAAAATGAAGCTATTGTGCAGAGTAAGGCAATCAAGATTGCATTCTGATGACGATACGGTTAATTATGTGAATTGGATAGTTATTATTTATTATATTATCAAAGAATTATTAAACTGTGTAAAATTGCTAAAAGAGATCTGCCAAAATTTATTTTCTAGAAGATTTGAAAAGTTTGAAACTTGATGGCTAAATGTAAATATAAAATTATGTATGTTTAAAATGCTTGTAATTAAGGCACATAGGTCAGATTAAGTTTTTATTAAATAGAGTAAACGCATGGCAAGGGCTATCTGCCTAAAGAGAGAGATGCCATCGTGGAGGAATTTGAAGAAAAACTGACCTTTGAGTGGGTATTAAAAATAATACTTATAATTTTCATTCAAATTATATTCATATATATTTTTTATGTAAAACTTTCGGGTGTATGCTAAATTAGTGTAAATTACTTTACACGAAAAATATAGTGAATGCACAGAAATTAAAGATTTGCACATGCCGGAAATGAAAAATAGGAAATATGTATGGGTATTTATGCATGTGCTTGCAAAAAGCATGTATCTGCCTTTGACAAAATACTTAAATATTCATTAAATTATTTATAAATGTATTTGAAATGAAGAATTTATTCACTTATAAACAACCGTGAAAGCCAAAAAATCATGTCATATTTAAGCAAGTATTTTAGGAAGAAGCTTTATAAATAGAAAAGAAATAATGCATAATTTTAATAATAATAATACAATAAACTTTGATCTTAATTTTTTGTACCTTAACCGAATAAAATCGAATTACCTTAATTTTTTTTTCTAATGTAATTAACGAAAACTTGTGAAAATATTTCATTCAAATTAAACCATTCTGAGAAAACTGTCCTGTGAAAAGTATAGCATTTAATTCCGTTCAGAATGAAATGTTGTTTAAAAATATGTTGTTTCACATACTTAGGACTCTGAAGTGTTGTAGAAAAAAGAAAATATATACATTTATATGTATATTTGCGACGTAATTACAAAATATTACATTTTACACCCGAACGCGTCAAATCCCATAGAACTCAATGGTAAATGACCCAATGTTTTGGTCACCACACGTAGGGATCGCCGGTGGCTTCAGAGCAGGGTACGGAGAAACTTGCTTAGAGGGGTGCGACTCCATCTACTTTCCTACCTACCTTCCATGGGCCTAATGGGGGGACAACAGCCAGCAATCTGACGTCACTGTGATGCCACTTGTTCTGATTTCCCGCGTTTAAAAAACTGTAGTTTCATTCAGGCTGCGAGACGATTTTCTAGAGGTTACATATCACAAATTAATTTTAATCATATATATATCTGTTTTCTAATAATGTATATATATTTAAAATAATTTATATATATGTAATTTTAGTCAGTTTTTATTTTAAATTCTATATTGTAAAGTATCGTTTACGTAATATGGCTTTTTGCGCTGTAGTAACGTGCCGTAGTACTTACAGAAGTACGAAAGGATAAGATATTTTATTTCATGGGACCAAAGGATCCAAATGAGAATTTGCTTTTGACAAAAGAATGGATATACAAATGTCAAAGACAAGATTCTATTAATGTGAAGAGCGGAATCTGGAGCGAACATTTTCTATGCAGTGTTTATGAAGATGATATGAAAAATCGCTTGTTTGGATAGCCACAAAAAGAAACTGTTGAAATGGAATGCTGTGCCGAAAGTAAATTATGATGACAATAATAAATCGAAATTGATGATGACAATAATAAATCAAATGTTAATGATTTTGAAATAAAACTCACAAATGAAAATGTAGATATTTTTGAATGCCCTAAGTTTAAGGATAAACAAGAATGCATTGATAATTTGAGGAACAAAATAATATCCTTAGAAAATTGTATTAAAGTATTGAAAAACGGGGAAAAGAAAAATAATTGAAGAATTGATTTTTATTAAATATATGCATATATACATATATCTATGTAAACAAATGTACTCTAATATAAACTTAATTTTGTTGAATTTTTTTTTTTTTTTCAATATCCTTTAACACGAAAAAATATTTCAGTCCCCTCTGTTTCGTGTTAAAAGATTTTCACTGTATATAATTGTGATATTTGCCTTCAGTCTGATATGTAGGTTTTCTTTTTCTAAATCCATTTTTATTACCTAAATTTCTGCGACTTTAGTTCCAACTGGTCTTTCAATCTCGTAACTTGGCCTCCACATTTACAGCGATTAAATGTAACCTGAAATGCTTCAAAATTTTGGTAGGAGGATACGTTTCCATTGTATGCCATTAGCTATCATCGTGCCATTGCATTACTTCCATATTTTATATTACGTTGCCGGATAAAACCATTCTGTTCGTCACAGTTCCTGCACATGAGTCGAACTTCAGAAATCCGTTAATGTCGTTTACTCATAGCTATGTGATTATACCCATAGTCTTTCTTCAGAGAAATATAACAAGCGGAGGAGAAAGAAAAAAAGAAACTCAAATAAATTGATCAATAGCTGCTTTTCTTTATGCTTTTTTTTTTTTTTTTTTTTTTTTTTTTTTTTTTTTTTACATTTTCCTCCACCCATCAATGACAAACCGCTTTATTTGCGGTTAACGAAAAGGATAGCTTGTTTGCAGGTGTTTCGAAATAAACAGACTACCAGCGCCGCATTATCCTTTCGTTACCAGGAAACGTGTACCCTGCACAACTCTAACGTGATTTTTGATTTTATTTTTACGCTTTTTGTCACTTATTTTTGTTATTGTTCCTTTGGGTGTTAATGAGTCAAACAACAGGATCTGTGCCTAGTTTACAACGAAATCTCACGCTCGGGCTGCTTCTTCCGCAAAGTGCAATGGTACACGAAGATCGGTTATTAAGTGAGATTAGTAAAGGTAAGGTTAACGGATGTCGGTCGGAGACCTATGCGAATGTTTACGCTTGCTGAACATGCGTATTAAGTAAAATTACTGGGAAATAAAACTTCAGATGGTCATTTAGTTGTTTATGGATACTCGGCTGAATGATGTTTTTGCGAGTAATGTAACAAAATAGGAAAATTTGCACCGGCTAATGTATAATTTATTTTATCTCCACACATTATTACAAAATTGTGGCAAAAGACCTTACAAGGTTAGGCTGTACTCATTCAACAGTGAAACAAATATGTTTTTTCAAGTTCATTCTCATCGGACAGAAAGATAAACAAATTTAACAAAATACAAAATACGACTTCATTCAGTACTTTCATTGCATAATAAAAACAAAAATCTAATAACACCTTATGAAAAAAATCTAATAACACCTTATGAAATTTTTTATTTCTGTTATCTAAAAACACTTGTTAATAACAAAATATATGTCGTCCAAAATGGTATACATTTATAAAAGCTAGCTGCCATATCGTTGAATTTCCGATTATGCACTGATGAGACTGCATGGTGTCTTTGCCTTAACTCCGTTAATCTGTCGAGAGCTCGGGATAAAGAAAGCGGAATATCAGGCACTTAGACTCACAAGTATTATCGAAGCTAGGAATAGCTAGTTAGAAGGGCTCTGTTATCACATCTCCCAAAAGCCTCCAACCAAAGACAGAAGCATCCCTTCCTGTTTTTGACCCCCATATGATTATTCATAAAACCGTTCTAGTAGATACATGCTTCGGACATGAGCATCAATGACAACCTCGTAAAATAGTTGCATAATTTGAAAAACACACAGTAGCAAAGGAAAAAGGACACAAGAGCGCCTATGGGGAGCTATGCTTTCGTGGTTGGTTTTCAACGGGAAATTGGCTTGTATTCATGTTACACATGGCGAAAACCACAAACAACAAACTTTGCAGCCAGCCCATTCGCCGAGGATCGAAACCAGCTCGAACTTCCAATATTCAGCTGTCTTAATCATTTGGCTTTCATGGAACCAATAACGATCTAAGATAAATTAAAAACAATATTAATAAATTGGAGGAAATAACTTTATGCAGCTTCATAAAAATATATGAAGAATTTCAATGTAATAATCAGCACAGATAAACAAAAGTTTGACTCTAGTTTCATTAAAACTCGTCCAGCATTACCAAAGCGTTTATATTATCGTCAAACAGAAAGAGGTGAAAATGTTTTGAGTAACTTCCCATTGTTGGAATAAAAACTGCAAATTTCAGTTTGCAGAGCCCGAAATTATTACTCGTATTAATACGTCCCTTAATTTGGATTTCTTAAAAATTTCCAAAGTTTACCTATAAAGTAATATCATGAATGTCACAGCTTCTATTTAATTTCTGTCAGAAGTGTAAAAAAAAACTTTGCCCGACTTTTCTGCTTTCGACTAAGCACTACAACTTCCACGTCCAGCACTACAGTTTCTACTGCGTTCACCACCGTAACAGCAACATTTTGTTAAAAATGAACTGAACTCCAGCCAAACTGTAATGACAAAACTATTCAGTAACAAATATTTGCTTATTCATTCTAATTATTACATTGCAAGTCTTCATTTATTAGCTATTAATAAAAGATTTGCAAAAATATAAATAACAACGAGAAGGAAAGCACTGCTTAGAATCTGGAACTAAAATAAACAATATTGGTTACCGGTTTTGCAATTCCTATCAGTAATGCTTTTTATTTGAATAAGTTAGAAATGTTAATGTTAGAAAAAAAAAATCAACCATAATCATGAAAGGTAGGTACAACACATAAGATATCAGAGCCATAAGCGCTAAATATAAAAACTGTAGCAACATGCTCATATGGCCATAAATTATTTATTCGAGCAGGATAATAAATTTTCAGTTCCTCTTTATAGTCCCTTTTCAATGGCTCTCGGGATGTCATCCGTAGAGCCATTTTTGATAAGATACAAGCATACCATAGCTCAGAACATACCTCCTGTCTTATGAAAACATTTTGATTAAAAACTTTTCCCTTTGGAAAAGAATTCGCCCATGGGCTTAAATATGGAAAATATGGTGGATATTCGATTAGCTTTCAATGTTACCATTCTGATGAAGAAAATTTCTTAGAGAATTAACAATTTGAAATTGGGCATTGTTATGCAAGACAACTAGCGTACTTGTACACAATTCAGTTTCTCTGATTCCTTTCACCCGTATTTTCCGTTATCAAGTACCATCAGTCCACACTAGCTCAGATAATTGAACTTCCTTTTGTATTTAAAACAAATAGACGTATTAAACTTACATTTAATTGATAAACTCTACTGTAACTGATATTCGTGTGTTTCAATTCTGATCGTATAAATGCTTATTGAAAATACTTTAGGAAATTACTTATATCAGTAGATTCTTATGCTGAATTAAACCTAAAATGACGTTCAACAGTTTTAAAATTGAAACGTAGCATTGAAAATAACAAAAAGTACAGTTGAATATCGAATGAATAATGCAACAGGTAATACTAAAGAGTGAACTTTAACTAATGAGGCCGGCGGAAAGCAAATCATATTCCTTCAAAGTCAAAAACACGGAACTTAAAAACTTCTGTTTTAAATAGGTCGCTTCACGGAACAAAACTGTGTAGGACTCTTATTCTTTTTTCTTAAAAGATTTTTAAAGGCATTATGTATTAAAAGCATCATAAATTATTTGGAAAGAAGAAAATGGGGGGGAGGGAGGAGAACGATAAATAAGATTAGCTTAAAATCTGAGAATTTTATGTCCATCAAAATGAAGAACGACAAATGCCATCAAATCTTAAATTCTGTATGCCCTGTAAAAAAAATTAAAAAAAAAAAAAAATCTGTATGCCGATAAATTTGCATTGCATATTTCTTCTATTAAAAATTTTACAACGTAATTTTGCTTTATTACATTTATAGACATCAGGTGGTTCTGTGCTTAGCCCGGGACAAAAACCTATGCTCTATTTTTTGCAATGCAGTAGTGTCTGTGATTGCAACTGTCTAAGAATTGTTTGTGTGAAGCGCTTAGAAAGAATTATTTAAACCTGTTAAGTTTCAGTTCGAAAAGCATTCCAATATTAAGACTAGTCCTTCGTTAAGTATTCCTGTAAAATTCAGTATCTTCAAGAATTTACTACTGCCGATTGTAAACTTATACTGCTCCTGTCGCAGATTAATCATCTTCTGCCGCATATAATTATTTGAACCTGAAATATGAACATAAAAAAATTATCCATCTTTCATAGTTATTTATTTCTGCATTGATTGTGTTATTATAGATCTCACATTCCACGGAATGCAAATTTTTTTAAGTGCTTCCTTACACAGAAACCGGACGAATGGGGAATGATGGAGCTTTTTTAAGTGAAATTTTGAGTGAGAACTTTTTATATATGTTGTCCCAGCACCATAAAAAGATTTGAAAATAATGACAGTAATTCTTTAAATTCATTGCCTTATCACACACGTATACCTAAAGATCGATTTAAAGGGAAACCGAATCCTAACCTCCAAACTAGCAGCTAATTATCGTTGACTATATCTAATTTTCAACACCTCTGTAAAAAAAAAAACCAGCGCTTTTGGGGAAAAAATCTGAACAAAATGTCAGTGCCCGTGAGGAGAAATGAACTTGGGATTTTCCTTGCGACAGATCCATAAGCACTTGAGAGAATTATTCCCAGTGTTATCTATGGCAGAAATCCTTTAAATTTTTTATACAGTTGTGAGATATTTTCTCCCTTCTTACCTCAGTTATTTCGAAGCACGTGCGGCGAGAAATCGGAAGACCCGCAGTTCGAATTTCGGCAAAAGAACTGTACATTTTTCATGTTTTCTCCTCTGCAATAAACCTCATGGCTCTACACAATTGCATACTATTTCATATTTTCTTTTATAGTTCACTCCAGATTTAGCAGCGGAGATGGCGTTCACGACTAATACAAAATCATGACGGCAGTTAAAGAAAATCAGACGGCAGTTAACCAGACCACAGTTAAAAAAAATGGGCGCAAGACGAATAACCCATATTATAATTAACAGAGAAGTATCATTAAAATTTACCTGTATTTCCAAACGGTTTAATCCAAAGAATAAATTCATTTGCTTATGTAAATCGGATCAGAATCAAGAGTAAAAGAAATGCACTGTAAATAACAGAAGAATGATCGCTTAATTAAGAACTAATTTGTAAATGACATTAACCAACAATATTTAGAAAAGAACTGGAATAATATGATAGAATGAGTATAATGAACAGTACTGAAACTCGTCGATAGAATGATGAACAGTATTGAAACTCGTCGGTTGGAACTTTTGCTTTTTAGATTACAATACTTACACATTCTGGATTGCGTAAATTAAATTACGTACTGTTGCGAATAAAAGGCTCCAAAATATTGTGACATCATCTGCTAACACTGCTATTAACCCCTGAAATTTTCTTTTCTTTCTAATAGATTCTGTAGACAATTTCGTTTTACGCTGATGGTTTGTGAAAGTAATTTTTTCATTGTTCCGCAATAAACAAATTTAAGCGCCTGGTTAACCGGGAGTTGACTATATATATAACAGCAGCACGAGTTCCTATAATTATTTCAGGATATATAAGAAAACATGCTTTCATTTTTAAAGTTTATAAACTATTATAATTCAAAATTTGTCCGTTTAACTGGGCTTGTGCTATTCGTTTATAAGTATTTATTCTCAATAGTACTTCGCCTCTTGCTCTTGTGCATTAAAGTTTGGAGGGGGAAAAACACCTATTTATCTGCTCTGGGTTTTCCAAATAATCAGTTCCGAGATGCAGGTTCACGTTACAGCTGGATTTTTCGCGGAGGAAAACACCTTCAAAGCCATCGCATAAATTATTTTCCCCGGTTTTTAAGTAAAATGTCTTTGAATTTCCGCCGGCGGCGATGTCCTCACTCGGGAATAAAAAATTAAAAAAAGAAAGCAGACTGTGCGACGAATTTTGATCACTTTAGGCTCAGCTATTTTTATTTTTTTACTTCATGTTTGCGGTTTTGTCTCGTACCACTTTTATCATAAGCAGAATGAGTCACAGCTTGGTGTTTGTTTCACTTTTCTCCGCCAGGATGCTATGCGCTCTCCCATCACGTGCATTTGTCCATGAGATGGAATAAATGAAGTTCTAGTGCTAGTTCGTCAGGCCCAGGGATTCCTAACCTGTTTCTTGCATCGAATGGTTTCTAAAAGAATGGTTTTTCTTCATCGAATCCCTTACAATTTTCTCTATAACCTCTGCTGTAAGGGAAAATTCTATAGTTTCAGGGAAGGAATGTGGTCAGCCTTCTATTAGTTAAATATTTAATTTTAGTTTATGAATATAGAAAAACTACTTTTTTTAATTCAAGTTACACTATCAATATGAAAGAGAAACACGCCAATGTAGCATTTAATTAATTTGTCACAAATTTTGAATAAATAACTCTAAAGTAGGGTTGCTATTTTGCTTAATTTTAAATTAGAGTTACCATATTTTAGAAAAGACGATACAGGACATTAAAAAAAAAATAGTTAAATGTACAACTGGTAAATTATTAAATCAGGGAGCTTTCTCAATCCATGATAGGACGTCAGACGTGATCATTAATACAGAACTGTGCATGCCAATCTCGGACATCTGGTAAGCCCATTTTTCAAGGAAGCATGTAGAAAGGCCTTTTTTATTATGTTAGTGAATATTATTTAAAAATAGTCAGAGATATTTTTTAAACGGCAGATTTTTTTATATTATGAAAAAGGTAATGAAGTAAAATTGTCGTTACTTACTTTGATGCACATTAAACCTACTTTTGCGTCCGTACAGGTTTGTAATAGATTGAATGCACACAGAACCGATGACAGGTTGATAAAATTTATTTTACCAAAAGAAGCATTTCACAGTTCTAGAATTTTCCATAAAAATACTCGTACAGCTCTTCACAATATCCCCGAGTACAATCAGTAGTTAGACTTCAAACTAATAAGAACGGTAAACACAAGACAGTGCAAAGAGCATCTAAAGAGCGAAGCTAACATGGAGTATTGCGAACTGATGCTGAACTAAAACAACTGAGAAACTTTTGCTCTTTCCGGTCTTACAGAGTTTCCCCCCAGCTGCCGAGAAATCTCTAGTACCTTCCACTTCTCGAAATGACGGATGAAGGCCGGATACAGTTATAGTTACATATATAAATTAATTGCATTTATTCAATCACAATGTGAATTATATATACACAGGAACCGGATGAGTAGTCGCCAAGTTTGGAGATTTTGGGGGATTTCTTTCAAATTCGGAGACAAAAATTAGTCGCCAAAACCGTCGCCATCTTGGTGGTGTCTCCCCAGTTTAGCAAGATAACCATATTCAATGTTAAAGTAACTTGCCCCTGTATTCTTACTTTACCGGCATAGTATCGCCTCTCTAGATTTTCATGTTAGATTATACAAAAAAATACAACAATTTCACGTATAACTGCATTAAAATTATCTATCTATGTACCCAAAAATTCGTAACACTACCCTTCATCCAAGGGCTGCACGTCCCGGGTAGTACAGCCCGTGGATAGGAAGTAAGAAGTAAGAAACTTACAAGTAAGAAAAATCAATGCAATACTAAAACAATAATTTCAATGAATAGCATAAAACAAATCAAATACTAAATCAGTAAATCAATGCATAAATTTAGAAACTTATATGCAAACAGAATCGTGGTCTTAGTGTTCTATTCACCTTATATACACTTCGGAGAATATGTAGTACTATGGCAATAGTAAGGGGGTAGCCTATCTTCATGAATGTTTTTAGGCTTAAGATGACTTACAGATCCGAATTACGACGTCATTCAGCTTGTTTAGGACTGTGTAAGGACCGAAACGCCGTCGCATGGACCTCCGACCTAAGGTTCTACACCAGTCAGAGTTATATCCATGCGACGGAAAAGAATCTACCATCCACCGCCAGGAGCATTCACTGAATCAATGATAGTAATAGTGCCAGGTGACTGCAGTTTAGGAGAAAGTCCTCGGTTTCACAACAACATCTTGTCACCTTCATTCAATCGATGTCCTGTAGCTGTCGTGTCTTTATCTTCTCCGTCGCCAAGCTGACTCGCTCTCGTGCAAAACTGTTGCTCACTTCAAACGATGCCTGGACAAAGAATCTCTAAGGAATACTTAGAGATTTTTTAGTCTGGAGATCTTGAAATCACTTCTCAGGCGATTAAAGTGCATCGGGAGGGTGACTAAATAAGAAATCACAAGGCAGACGAAGATCACGACCGAAGAGCATCTGGGATAGTGAATAGCCGGTAGTCTCGTGGACAGCACTCCGTAGCCAGTAAGAATAGGAGTAACTTCTGGTCCCAGGCTGTTGGTTTCTGGAAACCACCGACGAGAGATTATTAGAATGGTTCGATTAAACCTCTCTGAAGCTGTGTCTTAGAGCCTATTGCATCTTACCACAGCGCTCTTGAAGCATATATTTAATTTTTCTTACCTTCATAAATCCTTCTATAACATACTAAATTAGCTTCGCGAGCAGTTGAAGACACTTTTCTGTATTTATATTCATGGACTCAAAATAAGCTACTGTTCAATCTTCATTAAGCTGCCTACATGTAAATTTCGGGAATTACACGACTTCTCATTATTCTTCCGTGATTTGGATTTTTTATTCTCCATTTCTTGCAGATACTTTTTATTTATCTCCGTTTCAACATTTCATCAATGTCTATATCCTTAACTTCCAAGTGATCATTTCTGCTCAAGTTTACCATCTCTTTTGTCATTTTCCATTCGCCATTTGTGTAAATCGCCGAAAATCGTTAATAAGTTGTTGACAGAGCATCTTTAAAATATCATTCGTGTTGATAATTTTTAATGCAACACAAGCCAAATTTCCGAATAGGCGCAATATTGATACTGTGGAAAAGCCGAGAGGTTAAAGTCACTAAACACTGGTTGTTCGATCTGGGTTTGATTCCAGGTGAACGATCTGGCTACATAGGCGTTTTCATGGTTTTGCTCCTGTGAAGTAGATGTCACAGTCCACTAAGAAAGGTATTTTCTGAGCGGTTGGTAAGTATATCCTGTTGTAAATAATCAGTGAACGAAAGGAATGTGTACGCCAAATGATTTTTGAAGAAAAAATATTTTCTGAGCGAGATAACAAGATAAATCTACCCAGTATTACTAGCAGTCAATAGGACTGCTTTTAGTTATAACTAATAATATCTTCGTTCATTTTAATTTTATTCGATTTATATTTGGTACCAATATTTTTCAAGGTTTTTAGGAAAATTCAAAAATTTGTGACTTCTTAAGGTAAAGGGTCTTTTAGGAAACCAAGGTGAAATGGCGAAAACAGTCAAAATGACTGCTCTGGCACCTCTAGTGTTAAAGCAATTTTTAAAATTGTAAACTGGGTAGAATTATGTTGTCGGTGGTAAACTATTCTGTGAAAACTATAATTTTGAGAAACACTTTATAAGTTTTTTATGTTTAATAAGTGTTTTTTATTTGGGTTCATTGGAAAACTTACTAAACGGGTTCTGTTGTTCCCATTTAAAACGCTTCCCTGTTTCCCTGGGTCTCTTGGAAAACTTTCTAAGCGGTATTTCTAAGTATTTCACTGATGATGAATGCTTTCGAAACTATGCACACATTATTAGCTTTCATTACAGATCAGAATGATTACTAGCTTTCATTACAAATCAGAATGATTACTAACTTTTGTCTTTCTCTTTCACCCAATTATTCGAGTCTATTAAAACATCCGCCTTTCTTTTCGAGAAAATAATTTAGCAACAGCTCGAATTTAAATATAAAACTGCAGACGGAATCAGTAGGCGCAATATTTAATCTTTTATTAAACCTGTATTGAGGAGTTTAAGTTGTTTCAAGTTATTTTAAAGGGAAGAAAACGTATTTCATTTTTTCGGTCATTAAATTACTTTTAGTAACCTAATACTTCGTGTTTCGTTCTTGGGCCAGGTGCTGTTACATAGTTCTAAGTAGGAATTAAGAACAAAATATTTATTTATTCATTACGTTTAGTTAAATTTTAATACTTTTTACTGCTAAAAGTAAAACTTTTTTCCCTTGGAAGAAATACGAGAAGTGCTTTAATAAAGG